CATAGAGACGATCGGCCCGAAAGGAAAGAGGCGATCGCTCTGCCCGAGACTTTATGGCCAAGAAGGCAGAAGAACAAACAGAAGTGCTAGAAGCACGAGAAAAGCTCTGGCCAAGAGCATCAGCAATGCTCTGGACATCAGCAGCTTCCTAGCCATTGGAGAGCAAGATGGAAAGGGGATGGGAAGCATACCTCCCAGTGACATTCGGAATCTTGTCCCATACAGTTTAGGAACTGGTGGTAGAAGAGATGCTAGTAGTGAACTTAATCCAAGACTCCTTTTGGCTTTGACGTCGAACCTGCCGAGCATGGGTACTGGCTTGCTGATAAACAATGCGGTTAGAAAGAGTGGGATACCGTCGGAAGGTATCCCAGGCCCATTTGTGAGCCTTCCATGCCTCCTGGCAGGCAGGACTCCACCATAGACGAGGATACCGTGGAAAACGTGTCGAGGTCTTAGGAATAGAATAAACAGCCGCCTGGACAATACAGTCAGTCACTGCCACCACACAATCGTCTATTGATGGCAGTCAGACGAAGGCAGGATAAATTCAGAGAGAGAGGTGAAAGATGGCCAGTCAGCCTGGTCCAGCTTCCACCGTGGCACTCGGGTCGGGTGGTGGTCGACAGCGATCCTCGGGGCAGTGATCATTTTCCCATCATACTGAGAGAGGTTGGCCATGGTCGATGGCACTTTTCACTCGCTTTTCTTGGACATACACTTACTTTCATGCACCTAGTCAGTCTTTTACTGCCATTGATCTCTCGATGCCCTCATTGACCAGTTGCCACCTCCATTTTTACTTTTGGGAGACTTAAATGGACACAACCCCCTCTGGGGTGGTGTTGATATTGATGGGAGGGGTCGTTCCATAGAGCGCATGCTCTCGGATCACGACCTCTCTCTTTTCAATACTGGAATAGGTTTTATGTAAGTAAGTTAGATTTTCAAAGAAAATTAGAATATTCTCAATTGCATAAGTATCCAACCCTTTTGCTACGGCAACCCTAAACCAGTTCAGGGCAAAAGATTAGTTTGAAAGGTCACAAAATTAATGTAATGGTCCCTGTCTGTGTGTAATCAAAGTGGTTTAACTTGACTACAGAGTAAATACATCTGTTCGAGCCACAACTCGCATAGTGATACGACAAACCAACCATGATGACTAAGGAACTTTCCAAACAATTCAGAGAGAAAGTGGTAGAGAAAATTCCAAAATCGATTATTATGCCTTTGAGTATGGTGAAGTCCATCATTAAGAAATGGAATGTACTTCATACCATCCAGTCACTACCCAGATCAGGCCACCCTTCCAAACTAAATAGCCAGGCAAGCAGGAAACTTGTTATGGATACTACTGTGAAGCCATTAGTGACTTTGAAAGATTTGCAAAGTTCCCCGTCTGAGATGAGAGTCAGTGTTCATACATCAACAATATCCAGTCCCTACACAAAGCTGGCCTGTATCGACGAGTTGCAAGAAAGAAACCATTACTAAAAATAATCATCTTAAATCTTGTATGGAGTTTGTGACAAAGCATATAAATGATACTGCAGACATGTGGGTGAAGGTTTTGTGGTCAGACGATACAAAAATTTAGCTTTTTGGTCTAAATTCATAGTGTTACATGTGGCACAACCCCAACACAGCATATCACCCAATCAACACCATCCCAACTGTCAAGCATTGTGGTGGCATCATGTTATGGGGGTGCTTATCGTCAACAGAGACTGGAAAGCTTGTCAGGATTGAGGGGTAGATGGATGGTGCGAAGTACAGGCGAATCCTAGAGGAAAACCTGCTTGAGTCAGCCAAGAATCTAAAACTGGGTCGAAAATTCACAAAGCACAAAGCCAAAGTGGTTTTAAAAGAAGAAAATGTATGCCCTGGAGTGGCCCAGTGAAATTCCTGACTTGAATCCAATAGAAAATGTATGGCGAGAGTTGAAGATTGCAGTCCATCAACAAACTTGTCAGAATTGTAGCAATTTTGCCAGGAATATTGGGCAAAAATTACACCATCCCACCATTGTGCAAAGCTGGTAGATACCTATTAAAAAAGACTCAAAGCAGTAATTATTGCCACAGGTGCTTCCACCAAGTACTAACTTACGAGGGTGAATACTTTTGCAATCAGCAAATTTCATTTTATATATTTTCTTTGCAGGTTTTGCTGACATTCAACTTCCTTTGCACATAACAGTGTTAAGTTTGATCATTAGAGTTTGAATAAAAACAAGTGCATTAAAAAAAATTACGTTATATATATATTTCATCAAAATGTGACATTATTGATAGGGGTGAATACTTTTGCAAGGCACTGTATATATTAGATATTTGTTGACAAATCAGAAATTATCTTACACTGTAACATTTAAACTTATCACTTTACCAAAGCACTAAATACATTTTTTAGAAATGAACATATCCGAAAAAGTTTGTATTTCACAGTGTTTAATTGCAAATAAGTCAATTTTGCTATACAGAGCTGACAATCATAACCTTAAAAGGATCTTTAATTACAAATCAAGTGATTATTCCTTCACATTTTATAAATCCAACACATTTACTATATATCATTACAGAATAGTTTACAACAACAATATAAAATCACAGATTTGACAAGCACAGGCATACTGAATCTGAATTTATCATGAGACGTTTTAATACATGGTACTAAAGACACATTACTACATAAATAAACAATTAAAGGATTCAAACGTGTGCTTTATTGTCAAACATAACTGTTTTGAAACACCAGTAGTAATCGTGTGTTAAATACATATTAAACATGTAAGATTTCAGTTTGTAAGCTCAGAAAGACTAGTTTACATTTCAAAACAGAAATTTTCCTCACGTGGATTTTGAAACAATGTTATGGTAATGTAACGTGTAATGCAATATATTTCACTTCACTTATACTTTGTAGAAAAATCATCAATGTTTTGTGATTTCATATATAAGACTTTCGTTTCGTTATAGTCCAATATGTTTTAAAAATATATTAATATATTTAAGTAAAATCTCAGACTTAACAAGTATCACACACACACCAAAACATGTATTAACAAAATTTCACAATGTTCCTTCTTTGTTATATGTAAAATAGGGTAAAACAAAAAGTTGATTTATTCTGATTATTCAATTTATTTTCATCATGAACTATAGTGTTTAAATAAGTATCAATATTAGAAATCTGTGCACATAATTTCTGCCATTCTAAATTTGATAAAACAAAGAGAACCTTATCAGATGCCATATGAATACCTTGATAATGAAATCGATACATAAACACAATAGGGGGGGGGGACGTTATTGACATATGCACAACAAGAATTACACGATTTATGTCCTTCTAGGAGAAAATCTTGTTTAGGTATGCTCTACAGCTATACTAATGGTTGGGATCCACTGATTAAATTTCTCCCATTCTGTTGAAGAAAAAGTGATACCTTCTTTGCGCTGCCGAATATGAATATTCAAATTATTCTTTTAACTTGATAGGATAAGGCCGCCGACTCGGTGATCGAGCACGAGAACATCTAAACCATGTTAAATTGCATAAACAAAATACATCTATAGGCAAACATTTCACCATCAACAAC